ACGCCAGCATGGCTGACTTGGGAAGAGGTATTAAGTGACACACTTACTTTGCTGCCATTGCCTTCATGCTCAACCTCACACTGTCCACGCTCGTCCGGAGGTCTCGTTCATGACTGGCCTCGGTCACCTCGGCCACCTCCAGCATGTGCAGGTTGACATAGTCACGTGTGTTGCCTGGACATAAAGATATTGGTCATATGTATACCGCGGGCTGCATATGACGTCATCAGTTTGTGACGACGTTGAAACGGTGACAATATCAGTTCAACCAAAGAGTATGATTACTTCACCATTATAAAAGAGGTTAGCAATAGTGGCAAAATCATCTCCATAATCATAAATAGAAAGGTCAAATTCCAATTTCCGCCGCTTTTATAAACATCACGGCGGGGACACCAGAAATGGGCTTCACACGGAGGTCGTTTAGAGCCAACGTTTTAACCACTAGACATCATTTCTGGAAGCATCACGGAAGCACGTGCGTTTAATGTTAACTTTAAAAATCTAGATGCTTCCCAGGGGAAGTAAGTTCAGCGGCAGCACCAAATAGCCTAAATATTTGAATGGCATTTAGAAGTGATGAACATGAAAGGGACATTTACAGATGTTAACTTCTGCAGTATTATAATTATCTATGCCACTATTCATTCAGCTCGCTTCCATGTCTATCACTATCAACAATCACCTTTGCCGTCTTATCGCTGTTTTTCTCACGTGTACATATATAATCTGTCACGCTATATATAAACATAAAGTGACAAGGGCATTATCCCCATAATCCAGTATGACATTTTTTGTTTTATCGCGATGTGTAAAAATGTAACAATATGGACTAAATTACCTCTGTTGTTTGATCATTATACAACTATAGATTGATGATGTGCAGTGGCGTTCTCAGCGATCATTGACGTCAAATTATGGCGTTTTATATAAAGAGAGTATTGTATTGTTACAACTTTTAAGACAGATCACTTATTGCTCACGGCTGTTACGACTTACGTCCCATTATGTTCGCTAATGTATGGCTTAAGTGTGTGATGAATGTATGGCCTGACGAGTATGACGTCATCAAACCATGTAAGGAAACAATCGATTAATGTGTACGTTTTTGTCCTTACCAAACCGGGGACGGAGCGTTAAACACGTGCATTCAGCAAAATATTAGCACTGAATTAATTTAGCCATATTCTTTTACCAATACATGGTAAATATAAAAACTTTAAACCCCATTTAGAGAATCGAATAAGAATTTGCAGACTGATTGAGTAAATGACCTCTGTAGTAAAGAATGGTTGAAGGGAAAGTAGCATTTGGCGTATTGGCAGTAACAGAAGAAGTTTCTGGAAACATAACTGTTATTAGTCTCAAACAAAATGATCTTCTGAATACCATCGAGAGACAACGCCTTTGTATCATACACAGCTATAATTACTTCTGTTGGATGATATCTGACGATGGGCAACCACCTCAGATGTACGAAAACCTAATCCTGCCACTTTCGTAGTATCAAATATTTTTTCAGTGAAATTTCTCCTTCCTGCGGTTATGTTGCCGGTGCTTTTGAGTATTTTCTCGTTGTTTCAATTATGTTCTTGTTGCTTCGATTAATTTATCGCTGCTCCAGTTTCTTTCAAAAAGGTAAATAACGATAAAATATACCAAAGCACCGCCAAAAAATTGACAGCAACGACACATTTCACTGAAAACAATATGTGATGCTACAAAAGTGGCAGCTTAAGGTTTTCGTACAGATTATAGTTTAACTGTGATACCTTACGAAATGTACTTCACAGCGGACGGATCGGATAATTAAGACATAAAGTATATCAAGCCATATTTCTTCAAGCCGTACGTATCACGGTTTGGTATATCTGCAATATTGTAAATTTGGGAGCCAATTTAAAAAAAAATCCCAAAAACTACAAAAAAACCCACCTTTTTAATTCTAAAAAAAAAATATATATATATAAAAAGTGTATCAAGAACAACGGAATTTAAACCTACAAGCTAGAACACGTCAAAAGTAAAATGTGTGTTATTTAAGGAAATGTTATTGTCGCTGTTGTTTATTATTACAGCAAGATGTTAGCATAATGTTACTGTGGTATATGCCGATTGTCAATATAAAGCTCCTGTTTCCATCCAACAGCTGTAAAGTATAACTTATAGCGGTACTCACTTGTCCGAATTCTATCTGCATTGTAGAAGATGCTTTGGCTCGTAGGCCTCACAAATTGAGAAACTGATGTTTCACAGAACACCACAAGAATAAGCACGCATTTTCTCCAGCTATCCAGCATGTTTCTCAGATTCAAAGGTTAGTATGAAACCAGCCGGTCAATAGTGTCGCTTTTATAGTCAAACGTCACTGGAAAACTATTTCATCATCGTGAGTGACATCTTTATCTTACCTAAGATTGATTAAGTACGTACAACCGACGTCTGTGTACATACAACAAGAAGTCTTCCTTCGGCTGACATAAGATTGCCTCAGGCGATGATACGTCTCTCTATACGATGTCACAGTCGGTGATGTGTGTTTGCGACGTCGCATTGTAGGTGTAGTTATATTATTGTGATATACAAGGCGTTATTGTACACTGCGGCTTGCTGTGTTTACAAAACACAATGATAATTCACATACAGATCCTATTGTGCATCCACGTTACGGCGTGGGACATGAATACGTAAGACAGGGTAATTCTATATATAACATATGGTGCATGAGACTTTAAACTGTGTGCATTCATTTATCTTGTTAATAGTTTGTGTCAACTCGTGGGTTGTCGTCGCAAGTGGAAATGATGTGTGAAATATGACAGGTTCATTAAACTGACGAAAGTAGTCCATCAAAAGGAGCCTCAGGACATTTCAACCCCCTTCCTACTTATTTGATTTTTGGGTGATATTTAACACTGTGGCCCGAATATCATCTGAATCGGGCAAAACAGTTACTGAAAAAATACGAATGACCAAATATGAACAGGACTTAACTCTCGTTAAGACTGACTGACTGAGTTTGGTTTTACGCCGCTTTTAGCAATATTCCAGCAATATCACGGCGGGGGACACCAGAAATGGGCTTCACACAATGTACCCATGTGGGGATTCGAACCCGGGTCTTCGGCGTGACGAGCCAACGCTTTAACCACTAGGCTACCCCACCGCCCAACTCTCGTTAAGAGATGACAAAACGTTATGGATGATGAACTTCTCTACTTTCATAGTAGCGACGTTTCGGTATAGCTTCTTATACCGGTTTCAAGTATACCGAAACGTGGCTATTGTGAAAATAAAGAAGTTGATAATCCATAACGTTGTGTCATCTCTATACCACCAACTTCTAGAATGCCTTGCAAACAAATCAAGAACTGGACAGAGGATTAACCGGACCGGGAGTTTCAACAGCTTTACGTAGATTCTTCTGGACAGAGAAGTTTGAAGACCAGATCTGTGTTTTTGGTTTATTTCTATATTTACATGGGATATCCATTTTCGACCATCATTGAATATGTACATTTAAAACGAAAATAGTGTGTCCCTTTTTCGTGTTTCAGTTGGCATGAATGAAGAGTTATTAGAAGCTGAAAGGAAACTTAGGAATATATAATAAATAGGATCCAAGTGTCAAGATTCGATATGCTGAACTATGATTTGTAAGTCCCGTGTTCCATATTTGCAAATCTATATCATGTAGAAAGGGTTGCTTTAATCCAGACCATAAGATTTCACGCTGACAAAAACAAAACTGATTTGGTTTACCTTGACCTCTTGATCGGCATGGTGACCTTGGTTCGACCCTGAACAAAGGTCGGTCAAATTGTGTAGATTTTTATAAAACACTTTCCGTTGTGTGAAAGTGTTTTATCATGGTGGCTTCACGTTTTCTCTTTGACTTGATATAATATTCATTCACGTTGGTAAATTGGAAATCGCATTGCAAAAATGATTTCCTTAGCAAAACCGAACTGAGTTGAAATGAATGAAATCAAAATATACCCAACAAAACACTTTTATATTGAGTATATATGTACATTATTATATATACGGAATTACAATGCTAATATTAGGTATTAGAACTTAGATAAATGTACACGACAGACATCCCATACCACAAAGTTTTTGTCTGTAAAACCTATCCCCCAAACACATCGGGTAGTTTAGAAAGACCGCACGGAGTGGCGCTACACACGTATGTAGGATGTTATTTCTGATTTTGACACTTTTGCAAGGTCGATGAATATCTGTCGACCGTCATTTCTGACAATTTTATTGATTGAGCCCATCATACAGTGGTGCTTTACTTGATTTCATTTCTTGTTTGTGGCTGATGTCGCGGCGCCTGCCAACATTCCAGCTATACGGCGGCGGTCTGTAAATGATCGAGTCTGTCCAGACTAGTGGTGGTCCGATTAATTGAAAATATCGAAAATTGGTCGCAATGACTAAACGACCAAGCAATCGATCATGTTTTCTCATAATCGAACACAAACAATTCTAGAACACTTTTTGCATTAACAATATTTTTCACACGGTTGGTTTTGTCTGTTACATTTCATGAACACGACATGCTTGTTCCAAGTCACAACTGAATTTATTTTAAAGACAACAAGAAATTTATGTTCCTAACATACTCGTCATCCTTTAAATATGTGCAATTTGCAAAAATCACCCCAAGGAACTGCATGTATTTTCTTTATTTTTTGTGCATTAAAAAAAAAACCAGGAAAATTTTATAAATGACCCTAACCAATTATTTTCGATGATTGATCGGTTGTAATGAACCAATCATCAATTACGAGATTTTAACCAATTCCCAACACTAGTCCAGACAATCCAGTGATCAACATGAGCATCGATCTACGCAGTTCGCATACGATGACATGTGTCAACCAAGTCAGCGATCCCCTTAGTCGCCTTTCACGACAAGCATGGGTTAATGAAGAACAATTTTAGCCCGGATCTTCAGCGCAGCAAACTATGCACAGGTACCAATAAAAACAAAATACTGATCATCGACCTCTTTCAGGGTGTCCAATGTCAGCGCCAAGAGCGCAAGACCGACTGATTTGAAAACAAGCTGAAATTATACCCAAAGGCGGATCATACTGCTGTAGCCGTATTGTACCGCCCTATGATTGAGAGAACCATATTGCATGAAATGAAGAGTCACTGGCGTAAACTATCTGGACTTAAGTTTGCAAGGCGTGAGGATCGACATGTTGTTTTCCAAGACGACAACGCCCCTCCTCATCAATAACAAATCATCCATCAAGCCGCACAACATTGATCTAATGTCAAGGTCAACAATGAGCCCAAACCTTTATCCATTAGAACACGTCTGATACAGAGAGTTAGACTTACAACTAGTCTCTGAAATGAACATATTTTACTGAAAAAAAGTTCATAGTAAAAAAAAGAAATATATAATGAAAAGGAGCCCTGAGACTTTCTTCATTTTCAGAAGCTGAGGAAATCTAGACTTGCCACATTTTCTAGACTTGCGTGGGCTTTCTTGGATATATTTACTTCAGGGTCTGTACGAGAGACTAACGGAGAGTATGAGAGCGAGTACGCTGACCACGCCAGCTGATCGGGCACTGCAAGAGGGGTGTGGTCGGTTCTGGGAGACACGTGCCCACTGTTTGGCAAATCGTTGTGGTACTGATCCAAAGATGTCAACTAAACTTTCTGATCTTACCGTATCATCCTTCAAGTGAGTGAGTGAGTGAGTGAGTTTAGTTTTACGCCGCACTCAGCAATATTCCAGCTATATGGCGGCGGTTTGTATATAATCGTGTCTGGACCAGACAATCCAGTGACCAACAGCATGAGCATCGATCTACGCAATTGGGATACAATGACATGTGTCAGCCAAGACCACCCGATCCTGTTAGTCGCCTATTCCCTCTCTCTCTCTCTCTCTCTCTCTCTCTCTCTCTCTCTCTCTCTCTCTCTCTCTCTCTCTCACACATACACACTCTCTCTCTCTCTATCTTTCTCTCTCTCTCTCTCTCTCTCTCTTCACACACACACTCTCTCTCTCTCTCACACACACACACACCGTTTACTATGTATTTTAACATAAGAATATACGTCTCAATTCACACAGGGCACCGACAGTGAGGACATTCTCCCCTAGATATGGTGGCGATATTAACAACCTCGCTTATTTTCACGAATTATACAGCTGACACGCTAGACAAAACAAAACCGACCGCAATAAATATACCGGGACGTTATACCTCGAAAGCATTATTTTTCTTTCTTACAGATGTCGCTCAAACCGACACGGATTCCTCATACGTCTCGTGGACAGCAGTATTTCCGGCTCAAACAATAGTACTTCTTTCCTGACAACCGTCAATATAAATTACCGCCGACACGTTGTCTTCACGGCAGCAGTGACTGGCTGACGTCTGTGGGTATTTGATTAATTAGATGACATGAAGATGACGTGTCTTCCTATAAAGCTCCTATTCAGGCTATATAAATATAAGTTAAAGACCCTTCCCATAATGACGAGAACGATCTTCTTAAAGCAAAGACTAATTAAATTTATCGTAAGAAGCAGTGGCTGGGTGGGTTAGATGGCTGACTTTGTATGCTGGCGGGTCGGTGTAGCTACTAACACCGTTATCAAGCAAGCAACACTACGGTGTTAGTAGCTACACCGAAACGTCGCTCACATTAATAATAAAAAATAAATCACACCAACTTCTAAATGCCACTCAAAGAAGAGTGATTGGTTGTCTATTCATAGCTTTCGTCTTGGGAGCCGTGCCTATTTACATTTGTCAGAGAAGTACTAAAACGCCGTGATCTGGACTACCAGTTGTCAGACTTTCATTCTTGTGGAAGCCGGTGTGGCTGAGTGGGTTAGATGGCTGACTTTGTGTGCTGGCGATTATCTGCTTCACTCTGAGAGTGTGGGTTCGAATCCCGGAATGGACTCAACCTAAAAAGTATAGAATCGACACTTTACTGAGAGAAGTGTAATCCGAAATATAAAATATGTTATATATCGTCAGCATTATTTATGAATCGTTGAGAAATTTTGATGACACCGGGTGTTTACTAAAACGTGAACATAAACCCACTCCACCATGGCTCCTTCATTTGATTGATTGATATAAACATATTTTATTCACAAATGTGAAAGGGATTGGGGACAAGTAATCCAACTTAAAATACCCGCTCCCTAATATTTACATACATACATTTTCAATTATATACATATTAGGAAAGAATAGAGAGAAGAGATAGGAAAGTTAAGTAGAGGAAGGGATACAACTCATGTGATCACACAAAACGTTTTGATTGATGAATAAGAATTTGCACACCTTTAAAAACGTATTCATTCTGTTGAATGGTCATATTAGGACTTCCAAATAACATCAATGACAATGTGATTGGAGAGTCTCGATTAACAATACTTTTTAAATTTAACATTAATATTTCCCTTTGAATGTTGTACAGTTTACATTCTAATAGGAAGTG